ACAGTTGCAATCTTGGCTATTGGCTGTCTTGCATTGTGCTGCACAGCTGCTGCTGCACTGTAACTTACAGTACAGTATGTGAGAATCAACTAAAGTTCGATCATATTTTACACATGAAATGCATCTTTCATAAGTTTGGTGTGAATTCTGTTTAGTGTAACCCTATGATAATTTTTTGTTGGTCTGATCCAATTCAGAGTATCTGAACACCATACCATACCATGTCCAACTCCATCTTACAATTGACTTTGTGTGTGTGTGCTGTGGTGTTGGAAGTGAGGAATGGCCATCAGGTCTCCCCGGGCATCACACAGAAGGCTACTGCATAACACTGCTGCTGCTTGTAGTCAGGTTGCAGTTTGATTAGTCATGCCTACCCTCTGGAGTCTGGACACACACAGCTTTGGTCTTTAAAGCAGTGGGTTGATTCGTCATGCCTTGCTCTGCCTTGCCTTCAGGACATGGGTTTCATCTTTAGTTGAGCAGCAGGTAGATTAGTCATGCCTTCCCTTAGGACAGGACACACACACACAGGTGTGGTCTTCACTGACACAGCAGGTTGATTGGTCATGCCTTGCTCCCCTCTGTATGCCTCAAGACATTAGTGTGGTTTTGGGAGAAGTAACAGGTTGATTAGTCATGAATAGCCTCTGGACACAGGCACAATCCTAAATGAGACAACAGGTTGATTAGTAATTCCTTCCAGCACTCCCTTAGGACTGAGGTTAGGTCCCCCTGTAGGTGGCAGGCTAGTGGTCATACCCTGCCTCCCCCTCTCTCCCCAAGGACATCTGCATAGCCTTCTGACCCACTTCCTGAGGGCAAGTCGTAATACACAGTATAATTTGTGGTCTAGTGATGCAGTGGGCCCTGATGCATAATATTCCAAGTAGGAGGATCGTAGCTTCTTGCTCTCTCTGTCTCTCACAGGTTGGTTTTAAAGTACACCATTAGTAATGAGTTTGCCATTAGTAATGGGTATATGACAAAAAACAAATCGTTATGTAGAGTACATTGTGTTCAGTCTCACAGAACCATTTCAATTAGGTATTGTTTTTGCTGCTGTAAAAGGAATTGTCACTATGCACTGTTGACCACAGATAGTGCTGTACACTGTCCTGATTTCCCTCCCAATTTAACAGCCTAGCCAAATGAAAGTTTAGTTCTCTGTTTGGGCTATGATACATTGGTTTACATCACAGACTGGCTGCCAGAGTCTTTGTTTTACGGTCTATTACTAATGCAACTTAAAGATGATACATCTTTTGAAGACCTCTGTAAAAAAGACCACTGCCATAGAGAATATATAGGCTTGCTTCCAGTGTTAGAGGCAAAAGTTTGCATACTGAGAGTCTAGCCTACAACACTGAAATATTGATGCTTGATCTAACGATTATATCTAATTGTGAGGCATTTCTGCTGCCTGGTTTATTAGGCTGTAAATCTTAGAGTGAAAGCCAGACCACCTCTGCTTTCTGTATTGTGTGCCTGTATTGTAACTAATGGGGGGGTAACATTATGCATTTGAATCACAAAATAAGCCAAATAAAATAAGTAGTGGGTTTTGTTGCCAATTCTGGTCGATCTACTGCATTGTCTGCAGCCAACTCTGTGTGTGTGTGTGTGTGTGTGTGTGTGTGTGAGTGTTTGTGTGCGTCTGTGCGCGTGCGTGCGTGTGTACAGTCGTGGTCAAAAGTTTTGAGAATGACACAAATAATACTTTTTACAAAGTCTGCTGCCTCAGTTTTTATGATGGCAATTTGCATATACTCCAGAATGTTATGAAGAGTGATCAAATGAATTGTAATTAATTGCAAAGTCCCTCTTTGTCATGAAAATGAACTTAATCTAAAAAAAACATTTCCACTGTATTTCAGCCCTGCCACAAAAGGACTAGCTGACATCATGTCAGTGATTCTCTCGTTAACACAGGTGAGAGTGTTGATGAGGACAAGGCTAGAGATCACTCTGTCATGCTGATTGAGTTAGAATAACAAACTGGAAGCTTTAAAAGGAGGGTGGTGCTTGAAATCATTGTTCTTCCTGTTAACCATGGTTACCTGCAAGGAAACACATGCCGTCATCATTGCTTTTCACAAAAAGGGCTTCACAGGCAAGGATATTGCTGCTAGTAAGATTGCACCTAAATCAACCATTTATCGGATCATCAAGAACTTCAAGGAGAGAGGTTCAATTGTTGTGAAGAAGGCTTCAGGGCGCCCAAGAAAGTCCAGCAAGCGCCAGGACCGTCTCCTAAAGTTGATTCAGCTGCAGGATCGGGGCACCACCAGTGCAGAGCTTGCTCAGGAATGGCAGCAGGCAGGTGTGAGTGCATCTGCACGCACAGTGAGGCGAAGACTTTTGGAGGATGGCAGCGAGGAAGCCACTTCTCTCCAGTAAAAACTTCAGGGACAGACTGATATTCTTCAAAAGGTACAGGGATTGGACTGCTGAGGACTGGTGTAAAGTCATTTTCTCTGATGAATCCCCTTTCCGATTGTTTGGGGCATTCGGAAAAAAGCTTGTCCGGAGAAGACAAGGTGAGCGCTACCATCAGTCCTGTGTCATGCTAACAGTAAAGCATCCTGAGACCATTCATGTGTGGGGTTGCTTCTCAGCCAAGGGAGTGGGCTCACTCACAATTTTGCCTAAGAACACAGCCATAAATAAAGAATGGTACCAACACATCCTCCGACGACCAATGCCTTTTCCAGCATGATGGAGCACCTTGCCATAAGGCAAAAGTGATAACTAAGTGGCTCAGGGAACAAAACATCGACATTTTGGGTCCATGGCCAGGAAACTCCCCAGACCTTAATCCCATTGAGAACTTGTAGTCAGTCCTCAAGAGGCGGGTGGACAAACAAAAACCCACAAATTCTGACAAACTCCAAGCATTGATTATGCAAGAATGGGCTGCCATCAGTCAGGATGTGGCCCAGAAGTTAATTGACAGCATGCCAGGGCGGATTGCAGAGGTCTTGAAAAAGAAGGGTCAACACTGCAAATATTGACTCTTTGCATAAACTTAATGTAATTGTTAATAAAAGCCTTTGACACTTATGGAAAGCTTGTAAATATAGTTCAGTATACCATAGTAACATCTGACAAAAATATCTAAAAACACTGAAGCAGCAAACTTTGTAAAGACCAACACTGTCCTGCTGTTTCAACTATGCATACAATACAGTAGCGGATGGTTTAGTTGGCCCAACTCTGTGCTGTCTCTCTGGACTCATACACAAATCTTGTTTCAGTTACATGTAGTTCCGTTTTATCCATGGTCATAGATTTACTGTGGTTATCATCTCCCTGCTCTGTGTTCTACTGCATGTCTGCTGCAAAGCTCTGGGTTACATAAGGCTGTTACACAGAGTAGCTCTTAAAGTGTCAGAAACGTGAGACAAATCCTAATGTACAGTAGGACCATAGGGTTACAATATACAGTATATAAACACCAAAGTGAGCTAATTGTATATATTTGCACAAGGGGATGCCATTGATAGATATTAAGTACCCAAGATAAATTAAAACTAGCACACAATGTGGCCCTGAAAACCCCTACGATAACTTGTTAAAAATATCAATCAGTTTATCAATACTGTTTATATGGGGTGCAGCATTATTTCAGAGATGAGAGTGCAGTAGTATGTTACATTCACAGAGAAATACTGCCACAAGACAGATGATTTAGCCTAGTTATAGAATTACAGGAAAATAGACAAGACTGTATTAGCAGTGACAGATGAATGTTTTTTATTCTTTGATTGATGAATTAAGAAACAAAGAAAGCGAATTGGAACAATCTTGAAAGCTCACAAAAAGCGATCTCTTGGACAGTAGCAATCAATGCTACATTCACTTTCGTGTTTGCCGACGAACAAGAAGAGTCTTAATCACGTTTTTGTCTCAGGTCTCTATTGGACTTCTACCTTACTATGGTGCCAATGGGGACGAACAGGATTAGATTGCATGATTACATTACCTGTAGCTCTAGCTGTACTGTACATTTCCTCAAATGTTTGAGTATTTTGTCTCACACGAGGGTACCTTCCAGTGGATTGCCAACTGCAAACACAAATAGTTGCCCATGAAACTCTAACCACAACAATAGTGTCACCCCCTGTAAATACTGTGTACCAAATTCTGAATGAAGAGAGTCATCTGTTGAGTCTCGTATGTGTTCTTACCACCCTGAGTGTGATGCATCTCTGAATCCTGAAATTGGTTCCCCAAAAGTTGGTGGTACATTTGACAGTGGCTGTGAAGTTTTATGAGTCGCTCCGAGTGTGTTTTTGTTGTTGTCAACATTTTTAACAGAGGAAGAGATCAATAACACATACTTAAGTGATATAGAAGTGGATTGGGACTAGATTTATCAGTCTAAGCTTTGAGTTCCAGATCCTTACCTCAACCTTATGTCGTGGAAATTCTTACACAGGGACACTCAAAGTCAATCTTAAATGAATCATCGTTTATTGTCAGCGCGCTGGAGAGGTTCCAACCAACTCAATGCACCATAGTACAAATGTCAATCAGGAGCTCTCCTGGGGCAGTCCCAGCAGTTTTCTTATATACAGCTATACACAGACAAGTTATATTTGCATGATCTAGCATAATTAATTAATCATTACTGTTTTGTTTCATTCATGTGACCGACCAATACTGGTTCATAACATGTGACAGACCAATATCTCACAAGGCTTCTTCTCTCTCAAAACAAGGTCTGGGCGTACTGCCGAATTGCAGATACTGATAAGTGAGGATTCGTCCGATCAGTCACTTGCATGAACACAGAAATTGGTTATTAGAACAGCACATGAATAGAACATAGAAAAGTATAGAATAGAAAAGCACCAACATTAACATTTCCATCACACTTACATTCTGAGGAGGGATGTGTGTTCCATTAAGGTGTTGGTAAGACGATGTAGCCCTACTGCAATTATAGGGCCTTGTTAGTTCCATTGAGTGCAACAACACTGCTTGTACTGTCATACATGGCTGAACCCAGGATGTAGAGAAATTGCATTAACCCAGAGGTGACTGTTTGGTTAAGGGAAGTAAGGTATAGATGTAGGAGGTAGCTATAGGTTTAAGTGGGGTGGATGGATCTCAAGCTAGAAACCAGCCAGAGCATGTCACACATCGCTCAGTTGGAGAGTGGTTGCAAGCCAAAGCATGACAAATGTCCCTCAATTGAGAGTGGTGGTTGGGGGAGTGTTCAGCTGAGAAAGTGGACACCACCTTACCCTTTGGCCTATGAGATTCACCCCCAGAGGAAGCTACATGGTTCTGAGTGGTTCTTTCTTTCTTTCTTTTAACTCCTCATTCAATTTCAAGAGGCATCCACCAATCCTCCTCTCAGTGTCTCATCAAAACAGAAGCCAATTAGCGCAAGGAAGTGCTCGCGCCCAACTCCCCTGCTCTCTCTCTCTGTTTTTATTTTCTGTTCTGTGATACCCCTGGGTTTCAATTTTTTAAATAATGAATAGCCCCCCCCCCCTCCCCCCTTCCACTTGTTATGCTGGCCTCAAAGTGGGAGAGATTATTATTATTATTTTTAATAATTGGGGGGGGGGGGGGTGTAGATCAGCTTTAATATTGGAGATAGATTGTGGCTTCTATCAATGTAATTGTCTGCATGATTTCAAATCCCCCATATATATTTTTTGTAAATATATATTATTTTAAATATATCTTTATTATGAAATATATTTTCCTTCTTTATTATTTTCCCCTAACCCTACCACCCCTCCCCTAATTGGAGGAAACAAATGGACATCAATACTTAGGCTTCTACTTCCAGCTTATACATACTATATACATTTTACAGACACAGTATACAGTATATTTTACTTATCTTTTTTATTTTATTTTTTTTGTCTCTGAAAACCATCCAGTTCTGATTTCTAATTGCCATATACACTACATGACCAAAAGTATGTGGAAACCTGCTCGTCGAATATCTCATTCCAAAATCATGGGCATTAATATGGATTTGGTCCCCTCTTTGCTGCTATAACAGCCTCCACTCTTCTGGGAAGGCGTTCCACTAGATGTTGGAACATTGCTGCGGGGACTTGCTTCATTCAGCCACAAGAGCATTAGTGAGGTCGGCACTGGTGTTAGGCGATTAGGCCTGGCTCATAGTCGGCGTTCCAATTCATCCCAAAGGTTTTTGACGGGGTTGAGGTCAGGACACAGATCTCGACAAACCATTTCTGTATGGACCTCGCTTTGTGCACGGGGGCATTGTCATGCTGAAACAGGAAAGGGCCTTCCCCAAACTGTTGCCAAAGAATCGTCTAGAATGTCATTGTATGCTGTAGCGTTAAGATTTCCCTTCACTGGAACTAAGGGGCCTAGCCCGAACCATGAAAAACAGCCCCAGACTCATTCCTCCTCCACCAAACTTTACAGTTGTCACTATGCATTGTAGCGTTCTCCTGGCATCTGCCAAACTCAGATTAATCCGTCAGACTGCCAGATGGTGAAGCGTGATTCATCACTCCGGAGAACGTGTTTCCACTGCTCCAGAGTCCAACGGCGGCAAGCTGTACACCACTCCAGTCGACACTTGGCATTGCACATGGTGATCTTAGGCTTGTGTGCAACTGCTAGTCCATGGAAACGCATTTTATGAAGCTCCCGACTAACAGTTCTTGTGCTGACAATGCTTCCAGAGGCAGTTTGGAACTTGGTAGTGAGTGTTGCAACCGAGGACAGACGATTTTTACGTGCTACGTGCTTCAGCACTCTGCGGTCCCGTTCTGAGAGCTTGTGTTGCCTACCACTTCACGGCTGAGCCATTGTTGCTCCCAGACGTTTCCACTTCACAATAACAGCACATACAGTTGACCGGGGCAGCTCTAGCAGGGCATAAATTTGACTAACTTACTTTCTGGAAAGGTGGCATCCTATGACGGTGACACGTTCTTCAGTACGGGCCATTCAGTTGCCAATGTTTGTCTATGGAGATTGCATGGCAATGTGCTCAATTACTTTACACCTGGCAGCAACGGGTGTGGCTGAAATAGCCGAATCCACTCATTTGTAGGGGTGTCCACATACTTACTTCAGCAAGACAAAGGAGCTGATCGTGAACTACAGGAAACGCAGGGCCGAGCACGCCCCCGTCCATATCGACGGTGCTGTAGTGGAGCGGGTCGAGAGCTTCAAGTTCCTCGGTGTCCACATCACTAAGGAAATGTCATGGTCCACACACACCAACACAGTCATGAAGAAGGCACGACAATGCATTTTCCCCCTCAGGAGGCTGAAAATATTTGGCATGAGCCCTCAGAACCTCAAAGTTCTACAGCTGCACCATTGAGAGCATCTTGACTGGCTGCATCACCGCTTGGTATGGCAACTGCTTGGCATCCGACTGCAAGGCGTTACAGAGGGTAATGCGTACAGCCCAGTACTTCACAGCGGCCAAGCTTCCTGCCATCCAGGAACTCTATACCAGGTGGTGTCAGTGGAAGGTCCTAAAAATTGTCAAAGACTTCAGCCACCCAAGTCATAGACTGTTCTCTCTGCTACCGCATGGCAAGCGGTACCGATGCACCAAGTCTGGAACCAACAGGACCCTGAACAGCTTATACCCCAAGCCATAAGACTGCTAAATAGTTAGTTGAATATACTGAACAAAACTATAAATGTAAAGTGTTGGTTCCGTGTTTCATGAGCTGAAATAAAAGATCCCAGAACATTTCCATATGCACAAAAAGCTTATTTCTCTAAAATGTTAGTGAGCATTTCTCCTTTACCAATATAATCCATCCACCTGACAGTTGTAGCATATCAAGAAGCTGATTAAATAGCATGATCATTACACAGGTGCAGCTTGTGCTGAGGACAATAAAAGGTCACTCTAAAATGTGCAGTTTTGTCACACAACACAATGCCACAGATGTCTCAAGTTTTGAGGGAGCGTGCAATTGTCAGTACGTCCAACCGGCCTCACAACCGCAGACCATGTGTATGGCGTTGTGTGGGCGAGTGGTTTGCTGATGTCAACATTGTGAACAGAGTGCCCCATGGTGGCGGTGGGGTTATGGTATGAGCAGGCATAAGCTACGGACTACGAACACAATTACATTTTATCGATGGCAATTTGAATGCACAGATATACTGTGACAAGATCCTGAAGCTCATTGTCAGGCCATTCATCCACCGCCATCACCTCACGTTTCAGCATGATAATGCACATCCCTATGTAGCAAGGATCTGTACACAATTCCTGGAAGCTGAAAATGTCCCAGTTCTTCCATGGCCTGCATACTCACCAGACATGTCACCCATTGAGCATGTTTGGGATGCTCTGGATCTACGTGTACGACAGCGTGTTCCAGTTCCCGTCAATATCCAGCAACTTCACACAGCCTTTGAAGAAGAGTGGGACAACATTGCACAGGCCACAATCAACAGCCTGATCAACTATATGCGAAGGAGATGTGTTGTGCTGCATGAGGCAAATGGTGGTCACACCAGATACTGACTGGTTTTCTGATCCACACCCCTACCTTTTTTTAAGGTGTCTGAGACCAACAGATGCATATCTGTATTCCCAGTTATGTGAAATCTATAGATTAGGGCCTAATGAATTTATTTCAATTGACTGATTTCCTTATATGAACTGTAATTCAGTAAAATCTTTTAAATCTGCATTGACCCTTTTTTGCACTAACTCTTTTGACTCATCACACACTGCTGCTTCTGTTTATTATCTATCCTGTTGCCTTGTCACTTTATCCCTACCTATATGTACATATCTATCTCAATTACCCATGTTACCATTACTAATTCTGTATTTATTATTTTACTATTATTTATAAATTTTTCTTTCTGCATTGTTGGGAAGGGCCCTGAGTAAGTAGTTCATTGCTATTCTACACCTGTTGTTTTACGAAGCATGTGACACATAACATTAGATTTCTCTCTCTCTCTCTCTCCTCTCTCTCTCCTCTCTCTCCTCTCTCTCTCCTCTCTCTCTCTCTCTCTCTCTCTCTCTCTCTCTCTCTCTCTCTCTCCTCTCTCTCTCTCTCTCTCTCTCTCTCTCTCTCTCTCCTCTCTCTCTCTCTCTCTCTCTCTCTCTCTCTCTCTCTCTCTCTCTCTCTCTCTCTCTCGTGTTCTGATCTAACTGATCCTAAACTAATCCCCCCACCCTTTCTCTCTCTCAGGGACAAGATGCCGTTCCACCATGTGACGGCAGGGCTGCTGTACAAGGGGAACTATCTGAGTCACTCTCTGTCTGAGGACAACGACTGTGACCAGCTAGCCAGCATCTCTGTGGAGGAGCTAGATGGTGAGTCCCCCCAGGGCTTGGGCTGGTACTACTGCGGCTAGGTTGGTTTGGGCTTGGTTGGTTTGGGATGGGCTTGATTGGTTTGGGTGAGATGGGATAGAGATTAGGACTGGGACGGTGGATTTGGCTGGTGAGGGGCATAAAGGGACTTTGGGGAAGGCTGGGATTTGGGTGTTTGATATGGCCAGGATAAACAGTAGGCTAGAGATAGTGATGGGATAAGTAGTAAGACAGTATTCTTAACCTAAACACAGTTTTGACATGAATCAGCGAGCTTGGACCAGTCAAGACATTTATTGACAAACACCACTTGCTCCTGTTGCTGGAGCCAACAAACCGTTGGCTTTATAAACTATGAACCTTCTAAACTATGACTCAATGTTCTTAACATCACTTATCGCACCAGTAGAATTCGATTAATGGGCTCTTGCTCTCTCTGTATTTGGCATTAATTAGAGGCAGTGGCTGAGTCTGTGTTTATGAACGCTTTTGTCTTGTGTGTGTGTGTGAGTGTGTTCTGTACGTTGTTCTGAGACTTATCACCCCACTGGCCAGGCCGGCGGTGGAGCCCAGCCCAGGCCTGATCGATATTATCCTCTGCTGGAAACAACATCATCACAGTGGTCATAGTGGGGGGGAGGGGGGAATGAACTACACTAGATGCTCTCAGACCACAAATACTGTATTAATCCAATGATGTCACATTAAAAGAAAATTCCACCCAAAACTATATTTTGGTATTAGTTTCAGTAGTCCATTGTTGACATAGTCCCAAAATGTTTTGCTTGTCAGCAATCAAGTTTTCAAGATACATAACTTTGAAAATACAGAAATCATCACCGTATGATGCATTTTGCATCATATGATACAAAACACAGCATCATATGATGCAAAATGCATCATACGGTGATGATTTCTGTATTTTCAAAGTTTTCCTTTAAGGTGCCTATGGCAAATTGGATGCAGAGTGCACCGTAATAGGCTAATAGCCACCTACTCTGTCAGAGTCGGGTGGTGTTATTATGCTACAGCTATATTGGCAGTTGGCACTGCATGTCTTTCTCTCGTTTGATTTGTTAAGTTGTTTTGCTATGGTGGTAATGTATTGGGTAAATGTAATGAATTGGGTAATGCGTATAGCTCTTATCGGGAGGTCCTCATAAGGTCAATCAATGTAATGGACAAATACAAATATACTGTACCTCTGTCAGCAGAAACAAAGACATAAAGGTATTGATCATATATGATCAGCAATCATCTCCTTGGCTTATTAGTTTATCCATAGTAGCTTACACAGGCAGCTACCATTTAGCATGTTCACCCTTTCTACCATGGGGATATTTACTGAGGCAATTTGGTGAGCCTACCTGTAAGTGTCTTTATCTATGGCCATTAAAGTGATACAGTGTAACTATACTGAGTTGAACTAGCTGACTCACCACATACAGCACGTTGTCATCAGTCAGCTTTAGTACAGCTACACATTGTCAACCTCTCAGCCTGTTGGAGAGGGGATGTAGTTGCCCTGTATGTCTTGTTCTACTAGCGTGGTGAGGACTGTCTGATTTGTGTGTGGTTGGTGTGTGTGTGTGTGTGTGTGTGTGTGTAGTGCTCTGAGCACTGCAGCATGTAGAATAGATGTTTGTGTGGGTAGAGAGCTTTGTGTACCAGGTAGTCTTGCCTCTGTCGAGGCCGATCTGTGCTGCTACTGCTTCTGCTGCTGTGTCTGAAAGGTCAGGCAAGATGTGTGTATAAGATTATAATTTACAGACACATACAGCACCGACACCACTAACTTCATATCACATAGCAAATATCACAAATTATAAACACTGGGAAAGTAGGGATAAGTAGTGTTCAGTAAGGAGAAAACGTTTTCAAACCAGGAGCTATTATTTGAAGTTGTCCAATTAGAAAGTTTTACGTTGTAAAAAGTTTTACTACGGTGTGCCCTACTGAACATGAGCGTGCTGATGCACTTGGCCTAGATTGCAAAGCAGGGTGCTGTTAAAGTGACTCTAAATTCAAGTCTTTTTTTCATTTCTCCGTCTGAACATTTCCTTAGGTATTCCTGTTCCTTTGGTATTACTTTGTCATACATTCTTTGTCATCATTCTCCGCGGTAAAGCTTTGGTTTTCAGAGCATCAGAAGAGGGCCCTAATGGATATGGGAGCAGTTGTGCATGAAATAGCGAAATAGCGGGAGAGACCTGTATGAATATATGACACAAGGTCTGAATGTTGTTGGTGTGTTCAAATGGGCCCGAGGCCTCAGACACAGGAACCTACTATATAAAGGCCTGAGTACCTCACTGCTCTGTTCTGCTTTGCTCTGCTCCTCCTGATGGGTTTATTCATGAGACACTCATTTCAATGTACCAAAATAAATCCATACACCCTTGATGTGCTTGTGTTGTTCTCTGTATGTGTTGTGTTGTGCTGTGTGTGTCTGTGTGTGTCTGTGTGTGTGTGTGTGTGTGTGTGTGTGTCTGTGTGTGTGTGTTCTCTAAAACAAGCGTCTTTGGTTGGAACTAGCTTTTGTACTGCGTTATGAATGATAATGGCTAAGTGTGTTGCTCGGGACAGATGTTTTGGGAAGCAGGGAATGACAAAAGACTGTTCAGAGGCTGGTACAACGACTAACCTGAACCCTCGGTAACATCTGAGTGCTTTTAACGATCCGAAATATCGTTTCTCATTTTACGAGGTGATTTAAACACAGAGAAAAACCATTAGATTTACACACCATTGTCCTCCTTGCAGCTCAGAGCACCAAATCACTCCTCCTCCCCTGACTGGCAATGAATGAATGACAGCTTCTCAGTAGATGATTGTCAGGTGATTGACCAAGGATAGGCTAAAGATTGGCAGCATGGGCGGGTCTCCTCTAGCATGAAACTTTACTTCATGCTTGGGTTATCTTTGGACTGTGTTAACCTGTTGTTTGTTCTTTCTCATGGTTTCAGCCAAGAACTCTACCACTACTATGTTCTGTTTATCAACATGGTATTTTCAAGACTGGTCCCGTAATATTAATGTTCTTGTTAGCACCTGTGTTCTCAAAAAGTGTATGACATTGCCTTCCATATCTGGGACACGTTTGGACTTGATTCATGTTTGAGTTAGCCTGGGTCTTGGGTGAGGTACAGTCCTGTGTAATACATTGTTGCATTGTTGCAAGGCCACAGGACTCTCTCTCTCTCTCCCTGGTCCTGGTGAGGTAAAGCCATGTATTCCAGTAGTACCCAGCCTCAAATTATTGAGTGTTCAGCAGTGTGCTGAAGCATACCATGCAATCATAGTGTTCTTTAGAGATCTGAAATTCCACCTTTAATTAAAAACACCCGTGGCTGCCTCTCTCTCTCTCTTTCAATCTCTCTGCATCTCTCCCTTTCCCCTCTCTTTCTTTCTCTCTATCCCTCTCTCTCTCACTCTCTCTCTCTGTCTCTCTCTCTAGTTCTCTCTCTCTGTGTCTCTTTCTCCCTGCTTATTGCCTCCCGGTCATAAGCCCTCTCCTCTCTGTAGACACACGAATAAAATATGAATTCATAAAAGCACAGAGGAGCCTGCTGACTTTTAGGCTCGACGCTGACGGGTATCTTACAAACTGAAGGGAAGGAGTAGCACAGACATAGTACAACGGCTTGTCGTACACACAGGGCAAGCTTATTTGTCACCACCATAAAAGTTGCCTACAGGTTATTGCAGATGTCATTTGCAATGTTCTTGAGCTAAGGCATAGAGCTAAAATAATCCCTAACCATGGTGGATGCTCTCCTCTCCTCTCCTCTCCTCTCCTCTCCTCTCCTCTCCTCTCCTCTCCTCTCCTCTCCTCTCCTCTCCTCTCCTCTCCTCTCCTCTCCTCTCCTCTCCTCTCCTCTCCTCTCCTCTCCTCTCCTCTCCTCTCCTCTCCTCTCCTCTCCTCTCCCTTCTCCTTTTGTGCGTTTTGTGTTGACAGAGATCCGGGAGGCATTCAGAGTGTTGGACCGGGATGGGAACGGGTTCATCTCCAAGCAGGAGCTGGGCATGGCCATGAGGTCCCTGGGATACATGCCCAGTGAGGTGGAGCTGGCCATCATCATGCAGAGACTAGACATGGATGGTGAGTCACCTTCAGTACACATTTCACACATGTACAGTACAACAGACACATGCAGTTGCACGTGTAACAGAAGGTCCCATGTTCGAGTCCAGTGAGAGACAGGAACAGGACCCACTCTGTAACACGCACACACACATATTTAAACATAAACAGATCCCTTCCCTCCTGTTTTCATACCATGATCACGCACATACAAAGACATGGACAGGGTCATAGACATACTATCAGACATACACATATACATAAATAAATCCTGCTCTTCCTTTTATACACATGGGCCTAGATATGACTACATAATCACAAACATAATCAATACATTGACATGAGTACTCATTCACCATTATGCACACACATTTGCATATACATGCAGTACATTACATGCGCACAAAAATGTGCACTCATTCGCACCATATATTCAAATCACGACCTCCACTTTTACACTTTATATGAGCATGAAGGATCCTACTATCCAAACACACACCGGAGGAGAACTTAACACATCCCATAGTCCCACTGTAGCAATATCTATCTCTAAGCTGTAGATGTGTAACATGCTGGCTGTGGTCCCTTGCTCCATTTCATCTTAATGCACCGTATTGCACATATTTCCGCTAACACACACACGTGCACGCACACACACGCACGCACCATGCACGCACCATGCACGCACACACACAACATGTGATTACAGTAGGTCACACAGGGTGCCTGTGGTTTCTGTACTGAAGCCAGTCCCTGCTGTGACCTGCCAGAGAAGATCTACATCAGCTGAAATCTGCTACTGTAACACAACACCCCCTCTCAGCTTTAACCTCTGACCCCTGACCTCTGTTTATTTGTTTTTTCTCCTTGACTTTGTCCTCGTAGTTCACAGTCAGCAGCTCAGCTACTGACCCAAGGAAATTAGAAATCAGCCAGACTCCTATTTTGAGAGAAGCAGAGAACCAAAGCCGGGTTTTGCACAATGCTGACAGCATGGACATTCATATTTCTAATTGACATATTGAAGTAATTGCAATTGCGGTAGACATGAATATATTGTTTCTTCAGGTTTAATTGAAGAGTTATATTCCAAAACGCTATATATACATTTTCAGGAATGTTGGTAAATTAAAGATATTATGAAAGAGATTGGTGTGTTTTTTCACTATCTAAGCATGGCATGGGGTTGTTCAATGACATACATGTGTTTGTATAAAATCCATATTTTATTTCAGAGAGACAAATAATCATGTTTTTTTGTTAAATGCTACATATCCGCCTCAGTCTCAGAGAAATAAGTAGTACTGCTAAGATTTACACAGTCAAATGTAACAAATAACTACTTTTTTTATAAAGAACTGTACAAATGATACATTTGTGACATCCATATTTTAAAAAACGTTTTACAAATGTTTTCAATACAGTAATATGAGATCTGTATGTAAAACATTTACATTTGATATTTTTGTCATTTAGCAGATGCTCTTATCCAGAGTGACTTACAGTATTACTGCATTTATCTTAAGATAGCTAGGTGAGACAATCACATATCACAGTCAAATATACAGGATACGAACATTACATTCCAGCTAAACAATGGAAATAGGCTAGCGTTTAGCAAAAAACACATTTTCATAAACAGCTAAAAAACAGTAACACAGTAACAGTAACACATGAGTACACATTAAGGTACCCATAAGCAATCATTTCTGATGAAAAAACACATAAAGAATTTGTGGATATAGTGTTTTCCACCTTCTGTGGAATCATTAGATGTGTCCACTGTAATTGCCATACACATTATGCAAACATATGGCATTTGCTGGCCTTATGTTTCAAAACACTTGATAATTGGAGAAATATTCAACAAGTTTTTGAAATACCGCTTTCGTCTCCTGCTATGACAAGTTAGAACATCTAGGAGCACCTACAGTGGGGAGAACAAGTATTTGATACACTGCCGATTTTAATAATAAATAAATAATGTGCCATTTAGCAGACGCTTTTATCCAAAGCGACTTACAGTCATGCGTGCATACATTTTTGTGTATGGGTGGTCCCGGGGATCGAACCCACTACCTTGGTTTTACAAGCGCCGTGCTCTACCAGCTGAGCTACAGAGGACCACGAATTTGCAGGTTTTCCTACTTACAAAGTATGTAGAGGTCTGTAACTTTTATCATAGGTACACTTCAACTGTGAGAGACGGAATCTAAAACAAAAATCCAGAAAATCACATTGTATGATTTTTAAGTAATTCATTTGCATTTTATTGCATGACATAAGTATTTGATCACCTACCAACCAGTAAGAATTCCGGCTCTCACAGACCTGTTAGTTTTTCTTTAAGAAGCCCTCCTGTTCTCCACTCATTACCTGTATTAACTGCACCTGTTTGAACTCGTTACCTGTATAAAAGACACCTGTCCACACACTCAATCAAACATACTCCAACCTCTCCACAATGGCCAAGACCAGAGAGCTGTGTAAGGACATCAGGGATAAAATTGTAGACCTGCACAAGGCTGGGATGGGCTACAGGACAATAGGCAAGCAGCTTGGTGAGAAGGCAACAACTGTTGGCGCAATTATTAGAAAATGGAAGAAGTTCAAGATGATGGTCAATCACCCTCGGTCTGGGGCTCCATGCAAGATCTCACCTCGTGGGGCATCAATGATCATGAGGAAGGTGAGGGATCAGCCCAGAACTACACGGCAGGACCTGGTCAATGACCTGAAGAGAGCTGGGACCACAGTCTCAAAGAAAACCATTAGTAACACACTACGCCGTCATGGATTAAAATCCTGCAGCGCACGCAAGGTCCCCCTGCTCAAGCCAGCGCATGTCCAGGCCCGTCTGAAGTTTGCCAATGACCATCTGGATGATCCAGAGGAGGAATGGGAGAAGGTCATGTGGTCTGATGAGACAAAAATATAGCTTTTTGGTCTAAACTCCACTCACCGTGTTTGGAGGAAAAAGAAGGATGAGTACAACCCCAAGAACACCATCCCAAACGTGAAGCATGGAGGTGGAAACATCATTCTTTGGGGATGCTTTTCTGCAAAGGGGACAGGACGACTGCACCGTATTGAGGGGAGGATGGATGGGGCCATGTATCGTGAGATCTTGGCCAACAACCTCCTTCCCTCAGTAAGAGCATTGAAGATGGGTCGTGGCTGGGTCTTCCAGCATGACAACGACCCGAAACACACAGCCAGGGCAACTAAGGAGTGGCTCCGTAAGAAGCATCTCAAGGTCCTGGAGTGGCCTAGCCAGTCTCCAGACCTGAACCCAATAGAACATCTTTGGAGGGAGCTGAAAGTCCGTATTGCCCAGCGACAGCCCCGAAACCTGAAGGATCTGGAGAAGGTCTGTATGGAGGAGTGGGCCAAAATCCCTGCTGCAGTGTGTGCAAACCTGGTCAAGACCTACAGGAAACGTATGATCTCTGTAATTGCAAACAAAGGTTTCTGTACCAAATATTAAGTACTGCTTTTCTGATGTATCAAATACTTATGTCATGCAATAAAATGCAAATTAATTACTTAAAAATCATACAATGTGATTTTCTGGATTTTTGTTTTAGATTCCGTCTCTCACCGTTGAAGTGTACCTATGATACAAATTACAGACCTCTACATGCTTTGTAAGTAGGAAAACCTGCAAAATCGGCAGTGTATCAAATACTTGTTCTCCCCACTGTATCTGTCATATTTGTTATAGATATTGCTTGTACATTCTGAGGTGTGACAGCAATCAATGTATGAGTCCCTTTTGGTCTGGTAGAGGGGGAGAACTGGAGGACCATTTCTCATCTGTTGATTTCACTCGCTGTGACTGAGTGAGGACACTCCTTCAGAAAGAGATAAACTCGCTGGCCAAGATAAGAAGGTTTGGCTGGATTGTCGTTGCTATTACGTCTCTATTATTACAGTGAGAGATGTTTTCAAAACATCAATTTGTGTTCTTTTCAAAGCAATTTGCCTCAATCTCGTCTCATTTTCATGTCTGTAGACACAACACAAAAGACCATGGTGATCAAACCCATGGTGATCAAACGGAGGAGGCATCCATAGCCAGGTACATTACCAGATAAATGGGATTTGAGGGTGTTTATTGTGTCTTTGCCAAGCTAGCAGCTGTGTGAATTAGAGACACGTGACACATTCACGGATGGCCATTGATTATTTCTCTCTGAGCAGCAGCTGCAACAGTCCAGCTGATCTGTATAAAATATAGATGGACTCATTGAGTTGATCTGATAATCTGTTCTACTGTCAGAGTGATCCATCAGATTGTTACCCAGCTCAGCAGAATGCCCTTGGTGGATTGCTTAGAAGCTTGTGGTCTTTGTTGGAGATCTCAGCATTGCAATTGCTCCCTTTGCTTTTTATAGGGGTGTAATGCTCGTAATACATGATGCCTGGCATCAGCTGCTTTTGTTAGGTTTAAATCACATCCATCCTACTATCCATTCATTCATCCATCACGACAGCTCAGGGGCCCTGACCGCACTGGCTGCACTGGCTGCACTGGCTGACTGTCCCCAGTGATGAGACAGGATGCACAGAGAGGGACAATCGATGGCATCAAATGTGACAGTGCCAGCGTGCCCTAAGGAGGTCACCCCTGTCAGAGGAGAGGGAGGAAAGGAGGAGAGGAAGAGTGAAGGGGCAGATTGAGTTGCCCTGCATGGACAGCACACAACCTCTTCTGCAGGGAAATGAGGAAGAGGAGGGAGGAGAGAGAATAGGGATAGAAAGGAAAGAACACAGACTCAAATGAAGACTTTGTCCTCACTGATTTGCAATAAAACTTTCTTTGTGAATAAGACATGTCATACTGTGTGTCTAGGAGACGGGCAGGTAGACTTCGATGAGTTCATGACGATCCTGGGACCCAAGCTCCTGTTGTCTGAAACCAGGGAGGGCTTCCTGGGGAGCACAATAGACAGTATATTCTGGCAGGTAAGGACTTCTCTCTTTTAACCTCTATCTTCTATTACCTTTCCTTTACCAAGTACTGGCCTGCAATAGCTGCAGTTATGGCCAGGTTGTGCAATGGCTGGCAGTGAAATCAAAGAAATTGAATCATCTTTTGATTTGCACAATGATGATCGGTGTAGAGTCAGCCAAGAGTGTAGTGTGTCAGTTCCTGATGGCCAGATGTTGTCTTGTCTGGTGACATAATCCATGTGCCATTTGGCCAGATGTTCCTGCACTGAACCATAATGGAGGGGGGAGAGGATGATAGCTAGCGAGGGAGTCAGAGTCAGAGTAGTGAGTGGAAGTGACAGGGTGAGAAGATTTGAGTGAGTGAAAGAAGTGGGGGGTGAAAGCGAATGAATGAAAGAGTGAGAGAGTGTAAGGGAGAGAAAGACAACGAGAGAGAGAACCACACTCAGAGAGAGACTTTTTGTCTTTCTTTAATGGTACATCCTCATTTCATTAAAACCTCACAACCCCCCCGACCCCCTAAAATAAAAAATTACCAATATCCCCTGTACTACACACTCACCTTTCCCTCTACCCCACGATACAAAAACAACACCACACATCACAATAACCCAAACCTCACCACTTCTACAACTGTATACAGTGGGGGAAAAAAGTATTTAGTCAGCCACCAATTGTGCAAGTTCTCCCACTTAAAAAGATGAGAGAGGCCTGTAATTTTCATCATAGGTACACGTCAACTATGACAGACAAATTTAGAATTTTCTTTCCAGAAAATCACATTGTAGGATTTTTAATGAATTTATTTGCAAATTATGGTGGAAAATAAGTATTTGGTCACCTACAAACAAGCAAGATTTCTGGCTCTCACAGACCTGTAACTTCTTCTTTAAGAGGCTCCTCTGTCCTCCACTCGTTACCTGTATTAATGGCACCTGTTTGAACTTGTTATCAG